CTTTAAATCTCAGGTGGCCAACATATAGTTTATATAGGTGGAATGTGGCCTGAACCCCTCAGAAAACCCTTTGCTCATATGCAACTCACACACAGTTTACAGTTTACAGCCATTTCTCTCTCTCTGTCTCAGAGCTGAGTTCACAGTTAACACCATTTTCTGACAAAATATTAAAAATGTGCATGTGCCTGTTTTTCACAGATGGCCATGGCTCCTGAATAAATCATTTGTACAATACGGTGGTTGGTTTTCTAGCTTTTCATATCCCAAGGAAACAGCTCAATCTGAGGACAGCTTCCCCCCATGATAATCTTGGTAGCATTAAGCATATTGGAAATACCAACTTTAAAACACTAGCAGGTGGATTGGACCCCCTCATTTAAGGCATATTGTGCCTTCTCTAAGGTTCTGGAGGATAGTCATACTCAAAAGTGAGTAGGTTACAGCAAGAAAGATGGGCTCATACTATGTGTCATATTTTTTCAGTCTTAAAAACATGGCTAAACCCTTTTTATTTTCCCAATGTTTTAAGACCTGACTGTTTTAATTGGGGTTTTATTTTTAGTTCAATTTTTAGGATGCTGTGCTTTATTTTTTTTACATGTTGGATTGTTGAACTGTCCCAAGACTTCTGCAATGGGACAGTCTAGAAAAGTTTTAAATAAATAAATAAATCTCTGATTCCATTTACTGGGCAGAATCTAAGCGGTAGCTTTCACTCCTGCCACTTTTCTGTCGTCCTGCCAATTCTGTTGCACAAACGGTGGGCTCATTCATTCTGTTGTGCAAGTGAGACTGACCACTTGCACTGCAGAAATATAGCACTTCCCAAGGATACCCTGAAAAGAGCTAATATGCTCATTTCTCAGTGGGGCTAGATCAGCAGAGCTCCATTATGTGTGCCTATTTGTCCCATTCCAGAAACAAATATTTCCAGTTGTCCCCCAGAAACACTAAATCTTTCTTCCATAACTGGCAGGCCCTGCTTGCAAATTGGGTGGATGGAAGTGAATTGATGGAAGTGGAAGCCCTCCATGGAAATCTTTCCTTAAAGTCAGCATTCTACAATTCCTGATGGAAACAACTAAGATGGAAGTGTAGGGCCATTCAATATCCCATTAATCATACAGAGCCTTTTGCATAGGCAGTACCAGAGATTGGATTAGAATTTATTTATTTTATTTATCCAAAATAAATTCAATAAATTATTCTTGACCCAAAGCTCTCACTGCATAAAATACAGGATTAAAGAATCCAGAAATCCAATTACCATGACTCAATAATTCTCCAACTGGTAAGATTCTTTGTGAATTCACTTAGAAATTCATGGAGGAAACAATGGCCTGCATGTATATCTCTGTACATACATTTTATATCTTTGAGAGTGTTCACTAAAGAACAGTTTATAAAAACTTTAAATAACTTGTGTCTCCTGTGGGACAAACCACAGCAGCTAGCCAATGGGGCTCTTCAATGTAAGTGCACAAGGCTGACTAAACATCCAAAACTTCCTTTGTTAATGGTGAGGAAGAATCCATGCATGGGAGCCAGTGGCATCCACTTGACGTTACACAACTGAAGAATCCCTTCACAGGGATGTCCCTCAGTAATGATGGAGAGATTATAAATATGAGCCTCCATCTTTACAGTCTCCATTAGTTTTGTTGCTACTGTAGTGTAACTGATTTGCATCAACAACCCTGTATGACAAAATGGTGATGAAGCCATGTGATACTACGTGTGGGTCTCAGTGTTGCGACTCACTCTGCCACCCGGACCAACCCCGGCTCACATCATCAGGACTGTGATATGACCTGCGAACCTCATGAATAATCTGACTCTGAAAATAATTAATGACAAGGTAAAGGCTGGGAAATAAGCAGCACTCTTGCATGGAAAGCCAGTGAAGCAGTAGATGCAAATGTTTCGTGTGTATTAAGGCACTACTTAGCTATTTGGAAAATATAGATTAATTTAAAAATCACTCTTACAGGCTCCAAATCACTGAGTTTGTTAGTTGTACATGTATGTTTGCATATGTATGTATATGCCTCTTTTAACATCAATCCGTTCAGGTGTTTTGCTGATGCTAATTTTTAATACCAGAAAGTAGGCATCTGGTATTAAAACAGGCATGTTCTTTCTGAATAAACTATGGCTGAACCATAATCTCTTTTTCTAATGGATGGCTCATGATTGTTCTCATTAATTATTTACTACTAATTCATATTTGATTATTTAGTAATGAATATCAACTCCATGTTTATAAAGGAGAAAATGTGCTGTGTGTTCGTATATGTCAAGAGTTTAATTGGGGATAAAGGTAATCAAACCATTTTCAAGATCAGCTGGGACTCCTGGATGACAAAGGCATAATCACCTTTCCCTCAAATCTTCTCTCAAAATAGTTAAAGAAAAGCTGAGGAGTATCCTGGCTTTTCCACTGTAAAAACCTCACATGCAACTCTAATCGGAGATCTGACTTACTTCACTATCAAACAAACCATTTCCTAGAGAGATTCATTGGCAGCAATACCAACACTGTTAGTGTGATTTATTGATAAATGTAGAAAACATTAAATTAAATGTTTGGTATGCCACATACAGTCCAACTCACCTGGAATGCAGCTAGAAAGGAAGAGGAGAAAGTCCAGGCCCCATGTAATCTCAAATTGCTTCGTTTTTCACATAGGCAGAAGAATCACTACAGACTCGTTCAGAAATCTCCAAGGTGTATGATCATTGTACACCACTTGCTGAGGAATTAGGATAGTATTGCACTCTATCATGCTTCTGGGATCCATGGACAGCTGACTGTGCGAGCAGAATGTTGGACTAGTCAGACCCTTCATCTGATCCCACATGGCTCTTCTTAAGATGTATTCAGGAAAAAATTACCTCCTAATGACAGTCTGAAATCAACTTTCATCCCTCTTTAGAACATAATAAAAAACAGGCACTTAGATGCGCTGACTGTTTAAGAGAAGACAGTACAAAACTACAATTGAATATGGAGATATTTTAAAGCTCTGGGACATCAAGATCCTCCACCCTACAGACAGAATGTGGCACAGAACAGCTGGTTGGTGCCAGTCTACCATGATCAGAGTAGAGGCCCCAGGGCTACCCTAGAGCTCAAAAGTGTCCTTATGTTGATATGTCTCATTATATCTGCCCTTTCAGCCATAGCAATAGAAGAATGTTTTAATAAATAAATAAATAAATAAATATAATAAATAAATAAAATAAATAAAGTAATAAATAAATAAATAAATAAATAAATAAAGAAGAGGGGGTGGGCAAAATGTTTTGAGTAAAAAAGAAGAGAAACTGTTGGGAAGATGAGAGGTGTTGATTGGCTGGGCTCAAGGGTGCATGGGAAGCAATGATCATCAGGAAGAAGGGCAAAGTAGGTGAGAAGCACATTATTTGAAGGGTT